CCCCTGCCCACCTCCCCCTGCCCACCTCCCCCTGCCCACCTCCCCCTGCCCGCTCCAGCACAGGCGGCAGTTTGTCATGTCAGGCCCTGCTGCTGAGCGCTGCGTCTGGGGCCTCTGGCTGTCAGAGGCAGGATTTCATCTCGGGGTCCCTCAGGCCATACAGAAAGCCTCAAATGTTCATTTGTGTTTCTTATTGTCTGGCCAAATCTGCGGGCTTAAAAAATATCCGTGAGTTTTAAGGCTGGATCCCCTCGTCGTTGCGACTTAGAAATTTGCTGGGTAATTTTAAAAGCCTTCAATCCGTTTTCTAAGAAATAGTGCCTTCTTCAACCCTTCAACTGAGTTATTTCACACAAACTGTTTATACACGGAATGTTTCCTTCTGCGCTGTTAATTTCCGAGATCAATCTCTGCCATTGCATTTTTGCAAAGCAGCTCCATTAAGGGTAAATATTGGTTTGCAGGTCTCATTCGCAGAGATATCCGATGTCTGTGTGATACGTGAGAATTTACACATGCAGGAATTAGTGCCTGTTTACCAGAATTTACATGGGCTTGTGTGCATCTATGCCACGGATGGCATTCCTATAATAATCTCCTTGTTTGCAGAGCATAGATTTATGCGCTCCGTATACACGCAATCCATCTGTAGAGCCATAACTTCATCCGCTGCTCGGAATTTATTTTGGCTTTCCACATCAGCTCCTTCAAACAACGCTAATTGTTGCAGAACCAAAGCCGTCGATGATAACTCTTTCAGGAATTGTCATGTTGTCTATAAATATTTAGCGACTGGATTGCATTGCCGATGCAGCCCCGGATTACAGATGAAAAGGTAGCATCTGCTGAAATTAAAAGTGGCCACGTTTTCGCTGTAGCTTAATTAAATGCCAAAATTTATCTACATTAACAACAAAGTGGTGAAATTTATTGATCAATTCGCATGATGTGAGTTGACAAATGGCCCGAGCAATCTCCATAATTTTCTACACGTGTTAAAATTTGTAATGAAAAAAAGCACACTATATTAACATTAAATGTGAAATGAAAGGGGGATTCTGTAATGGGAGCCGGTGCCCCGGGGCAGAAAGCTGTGTGCACTGCCCTGTCCAGGCGAGGCTGGCGGAGCTGTGTACAGATGGGCCTTTGACAGTCCTACAGCTGTTCTCCTAATTGTCCATTAAGTGTTCTATTGATTCTCTGATTCAAAGTACATGTCTTTCAGCTCAAGCTATCGTGTGAAGTGGCAGACACATTCCTCGCAGAATGACAGAGCTGCTTGAAACCTAAAAATGTGGGCTGCCAGTTTCAATTGAGGATCCGGCTTTCAAAGGGGAAGGCTTGGTTAAAGGAGCTTTGTAAGAGCTGCTTAGATTTTAGTTTCTAAACTTTTAGCATCAATCAATTAAAGCAGCAGCACGAGAAGTTTTAATTCCCTGTTAAGCATTACGGATCGCACCTGGCTGGCAAAGGGCTGCCCGAGGACGCCGGTCACAACGAGAGGACCGGCCCTGTTTAGCTGGATGCAGATTTCTTTCCCAGACCCTGACACATGTAATGATATTCTCATTTGACTTGCAAGTTCACTTGCAGCGTGTTTTTCTTTTAAAGGAAGATCATCTGCAATTGCAGATGATGCCAGTCAGACACCTGCTTCAAATCGTCTTCCTTTAATCTGAGGAGTGAAAGATAAGATGCATATCTGTTGCGAGGACCATAAATCTTCGGGGAAACAAATAGCCATAGATAAAACTGCAGAAGTTATTTAGTTCCTTTCCAAAAGAGGTTTATTAATCTGAAATTTTCAGCCTGTTGTGTCATGATTTGGTTATCATACGGTGTCTCATTTCTCACGAGTGGCAAAGCCTCGCGTTTCAGGCACAGAGATGAGGTCCTCAGAGCTGAAACCCATCAGTGGTATTTGGATCTATCACTGGTGCCAGAGAGCAAAACATGCAAATTGAAATGTGAAGCAAATAGCTGGGTGAACTTAGATTAGGGCTGCGCACAACTCTTATTCAGATGTTTCCTCTTTTTTTTTACTGAGGTATGTATTGATTTTATTATTAAGTTTAAACTGAATTCCAAATGATTGCTTGTTTGATTCTGTTTTGGTTTGGTTTGGTTTAATTCCTGATAGAAAACACGCAAACAAAGTGCTTATAGACTTACTGCTTGGGAACCATCTGCAGGAGTTGTGCATGCAGTCAGCTTCTCCCATATCATGTCACTTCTATCTGCCTTTCTATTTTTCTTTTTTAAAAATCCCCATCATTTAAATGAGACATGAAACTGTTTCGATAAAGCTGAAAATAAGGAGAACTATTTTCTCTTTGAGAAGATTTAATCCTTCATAGCTAATGAAAAACCACTCTCCTGTGAATGTTTAGGACCTGCTTATCCTTTAATCATCCCTCCTCATCTCGCTGCCCATGTTGGTTTTTGTGTGCCTCTACTCCTGACAGCCTTTACCTCCTGCTCCCATTGGTGGTGATCCAAGAGTCAGATTCACCAACACAGAGCCTAACAGATGACTTTGACCCATTAATCAAATTAGTTACGGCCTTTTAACTCAAACAAGAAGCTTGCTGATTTGAAGAGAATTAGGTTTGTTTTGGTTTTAACCTTAACCTATTTGTCTTTGGGACATCAAACTTACAAGCATCAGCAATGCTTAATCCTAAGCGAACCAACCAGATGGGCATTTTAAGAATAAAAATAAAATTTCTATTCATGCATCAAAGGTAGACAACGATGGGGAGGGAAAGGAAGAGAAGGAGGAAACAAAAAGGAAATAGAATATGTAGAGGGAGGAGACGCATTTCATGTTCCACAATCAGAGTTTTTCTCCGTGTTCCATAAAAAGGAATATGTGTTAAATTAAAGAAGTGGTGTAGCAAGCTGCAGAATGTTACACGGTGCCTTCTGTCCTTTTAGGAATGGAGGTTTAGGGTTTGAGGCATGGGGCTGAACAGCTGAACAATACAACCCTTGTGCCAAGGGGACACCCAGTTGGATTCACCGTCAGAAGAGTCTTCTGCACTTGAACAGACCATATATTGATACCTGCAAAACATCCCGCGGATCTATTTTAATTCCAGCACTTCCAATTACGCTGTTAGCCAGCTTTTAAAAAAGATTTTTAGAAGCCTTCAACTGTAGACTTTTGTCTTGTTGAATGAACTTCAGCTACACTAAATTTTAAGTAAATTTGTGATGACTGAGCAATATACATTGGCTGAGCTAGAATCCAATAACCCACAGGACAAATTAATTTTCAACAAAAAGGGCAGAAACCTCAAGTGCCATGAGTATATGGAATCTCAGTCTATCTCTCTGGAGCCATTTTTGCAAATCACTACAGCTATTCATAATCTAAATCAGTCTCCTTTAGCAGCAGAAAGATCTTTTTTCATGACAAAACAGAAGATGACATTCATTAGTGCCTAACTTGCATAAGCTACCTTAAATTTATTGGTGCTCTTATACTTATCTGGGTAAGAATTCCTTTGTCTACAGCTACAGGAAAATTCCGGATGTACTACTTAAAAATATAAATTGTCACTTTTATCAGAACTTTTGGCAGTTTACTTTATTTTAGAAGTAAAACTGGTGGTTAAGGTTTTAAGACTTCCAATGGGCGTTGTTTCAATCATGGTTAATATGCACCCAGGATAGCAATACCAGTGTAAGTGAGCAGCTGTACAAAATCCTAGAGAACTGCCACTGCTAAGAGCACTGGGTGCTAACTCTTCCCTGTATTTAAGTACAACTTATGGCATTGCAGAAGAATCCTATAATATGTGGGGGCGTTCAAAGAGGGACGCAGGACAGAGCTGTCCACCCCTCTTCTCTTCCAATGGATTATTTCTTACCTGTAAGACCCATTGGGCCGACCGATCTCTCTGCAAACATCACTTATGCTGCTGAAATGCAGGGTCTGATTATTATAAAAATGCACATTCGAGTCGGTATATAGGAAATAAAATATAAATGGATTTGCTTTAATGTGATGCAAGTGAATACTGGTCTTCATCCACCTGTTTTATAAACTCCATTTCCTGTCTTGGGTACAGACTGTTAATTCTGAAATGCATTCGGTTTGATGTCTCCTACTTGGGATACAACTGCAAGAAGTGCTATGACCTAAAGATTGACATGCATGTCATTTGTGCAAGTGCTCTTTATTTCTTTGTATAGTGGAAGAAGCATCTGTGGTAGCATCTGTTAAACTCTGGATGAAGAGGAATGATCACAGAGTGACTCTGGCCTCAAAACATGTGAACTGATGTTTGCTTACAATTTCTTTTACAAAGTGGAAGCGGCCAGGAATGTTTGAATCACAAATGAGATGCAAAATTATGAGAATGTTGACTGCCAGGACTGCTCTTCCTTTATGGGTGAAATGACCTTGTGGCAGGTCCCACACTGACAGCGGATGATGGTGAATCCACCTGAATGCAAGCACCAGGTATTCAGGCACCGAAAGGTGAAGGTGTGCTCTAATAGACAAGTTTCAAATGGTCAAAGACCTGCTGTGTAGCTCAAAATATTTTCTGAATTCCAGTTCTTGATTTCCATAGTAGAAATCATCCTTGAGAAGTAAGAGCTGAGCTACTTCCAGCCCAAAACATCCTGAGAAACAGTTCCATCAGCACTGCAGAAACTGCTCCTGCCTTGCTTCTACTGCCTTGTGATAGAAACAGCGGCTGGTTGGAAGCAACGTACAGATGTATCTTTGAAACCTTCAGGAGATGGGTCAGCACTGGCCGGGTCCCAGAAACATTTGCACCTTTCCACATTTCAGAAGACACTTTTTGTCAGGAAACTGAGGAGGACAGCTGCAACAGCAGCAGAACATCACTTTGCGGGAAGGAGCACAACCTGGCTCGTGAGACCCTAATGTGGAACAGAAATCCCATTGCTTCTCTCGTGCTCCTGTACAATGTGCAATATGCAGCTTTTCATCTTGTCATATGATTTATGAAATAGGGACAGCCGCGCACTGATGCCTCTGCACAGCCTGGCTGCGCTCCGCAGCTCTCTCATGTGAAGGATGGGGATGACACCCATGGTTAACCAAGAGAGGCTGCCAAGCATCCTCTGATGGATAGTGCAGAGATTGTAGAGCACAGGACTGGTAACAAGAACAAAATCAAGTTCTTGGCCTGCGGGCATTACTGCGTGTCTCAAATCAACCTTTCAAAGGGCGTTATTGCGTGAGAGTGAGAGCAGATCACAACAGGCTGTGATGTTTGCTTAATATTGTCAGTTCTCAGACTGCAGCCTATACCATCCCTGAGCAATTTGTCCTTTGGTATGAAGCTGATTGAGAGCAGAACCAAATGGCTCGATTATAAAGTTACCGTGGCTGCATCTCTTTAAAAGTGAGCTGAAGAACTTCAGCTCTGCTTTGTTCTGAGGAAATCTCTGCTGTAATTTGACAGTCTTCTCAGGGTGCTCCAGAGAGGGTAGCATAAAATACAAAGGCAATTCCCTTCCATCTGAGTTTGCAGCTTAAGCTGATGGTATGGAAATGAAGGTGAGATTTGTTTAAACCACTTCTGGGCAAAGCAGCCACCTCCAGCTGCCATATCTCAGTGTTGTAGTGGCAGCAGGCAGGGGATGGACCTGTGTGCAGGCAGAATGAGATGATCCATGCCATGAAATTTTCCTGGAGAGCAGTAAGGGTGCTTGGAAACCCAAATCAGAGCGGTTCAAACCACCCTCTTCACAGCATACAAGAATCACGTGCTTAAAAACCTAAAAAGGGAAGTTCAAACTGTTGTGTCAGCGAGCCTGCTGAGCACAGCCCCATCTGGATGGATGGCTCAGTGCCTGCTGCCCTTTCCTGAGGGTCAAGTAATGGGAAAACCCAGTGCCCAAGTGCTCCTCCGTGCTGCAGCCCCATCAGAAAGATGCAAGAGCTGCTGCAGCTCCCTTCTCAGCTTGGTGCAGTCTTGCTAGCTGAGAGTGGGGGTGAAGCCATTCCAATAACAAAGTCTCACTGAGTTGTTTTCCTGACTAACTCAGAGAGAAGAATATCAGGCCTGCTGGGAACACACAAAAAAACAACACCTGCACACCCAGGCATAGGCCTGGCAAGAGCTGCTATGTGGGACCAGCTGCATGTGCTGACTACGTGCACATTTACCTTTCACACCTTCATGTGAGAACATCAAGAACTCCACACAAAACATAAAACAAACATTTTCGGAGAGGGGAGATTTTGCAAAATGAACAATCCCTACAGGTAGTGACCATGGTTAACTCACATCTCCTTGCTCTCACAAGTGGTGAAAGAGAGGTCTGATTAAACATGATGCAAAAAGAGCTTGCAAGTAGCTCTGTTTACTAACATTTCAATTTCTATGCCTCATTTATTAGACTTAGAATAAAAAGGTTAGAGGGGTGTTTGGGATTGTCTTTAACCTTGATGATATTTCCACTGAAGCAGCATAATGGCTCTTAATTGCTTAAGTGAAGAGAACATGTTGACATGTCCTTCTTTGTGCTTAAAGCCCTGTGCCTAAACCATTATGCTAATTCAAGCATTATATACACCAAACTATTTATGGGACTGACACAAGTGATGTTGCAGGTAAAGGGCTGTGAAATGGTCTGTAAACAGAGAGAATTGATTCCAGGCCCAAAGCAATGCTGTTAAAGTCACAGACATTGAACAGCCAGCCCTACAATTTCTATCCAGATTGTCAAACTGGGTCAGACAGTGTCAGCAGGGCTGCCATTATAGATCAGATGGGTGGCTTTAATAATATGTAAACCAACCACATAAATGCAAATTAACATGGAAGCAATACGGACTTGACTGTCCCTTTTTTTTTTTTTTTCCCTTCCCTGCACACAGCATTTTTGGTCACAGGATGCTGAATGGCACCATTTGCTAAAGCATTTATAAAATAAAAGAGAAAGAAAGAACAGCAGCACTGCGACTTGCAGCCACCCAGCCAGCAGAGCAGCACTGCAGCTCGATGGGATCACAAAGACTGCACAGACATGAACCTCAGTACAGAAACAACCAGCCAGCTGGGGGGTTCATTGCCAACGAATCTATAGATTTTCTCCTGTTTTTCTCCTCGGGTCTAAGGCTAGCAATACAGTTTTACATATTGATTAAGTAATTTATCGTCTTATCTCGTGTTGTTAATTATAACCCGTAGTTTTTCCGCTACGAACAGAACTTTCCTTTAAAACCCTGTATATAATTTGTTGTTTGCATATCGCTAATTTCAGACAGCAAAACGAGACCAATGCCTTGGTCTCTGCATCTCTCCTGTGCACTTCCAGCAGACATTGCCCCGATTTTGATTCTCTTGCAGTGTTATTGTGAATGGTATCATTCATCCTCAACCCCATGTGTACCGTGTAAACCTTGGAGAGAGGTCCTACATTCAGAGCAGTTTGTAATCACTAAATGACGCTGAGTGCGAAACAGCAGATTTCAGGCCACCTCTTTTTAAAACAGAAAAAACATCAGTG